AAAAATTATTCAAATTTGTTTAAACTGACATTAAAAGGCAGCTAAGGAAAAAAAAAAAATTAACCTTTATTTCTAAGTCACTATGGTTTGAATGTGTCCCAAAAGTTCATGTGTTGGAAACTTAATCCTTAATGCAACAGTGTTAGGAGGTGGGGCCTAAGAGGTGATTAGGTCATGACAGCTCTGCTCTCATGTTTGCATTAATGTCATTATCATGGAGTGGCTGAGTTACCTTGAGATAACTTTTTATAACAAACTACCTTTGTTATAAAAGTGAGTTTGGCGCTCTCTTTTCGCCATGGGATGATGCAGCACAAAGGCCCTCAGTAGATGTGGGCCCCTAGAACTTCCAGCCTCTAAGACTGTAATAAATAAATTTCTGTTCTCTATAAATTACCCAATCTCAGGTATTGTTATAGCAGACTAACACACAAGTATATCAAAAATCTCCAAGCTAAAGTTCAGAAGTCACATTAGGCTTTACACTTAAAAGTGTAACTAATACATGATGTTTGCCATTATGGGATAAGACAAACAGGCTAATGCCAGATTGAGCTGGCTATTTATAGCTTCCCTATCATATGTGGTGGGATCATTTACTTAAGTTGAAATATGTTCATATGTCAGAAGCAGGACATAGAGGAAGAATGACAAACTTTGAGCAGTAAATAAACAGTTCTAACTCACAAAATAAATCAAGGATTTAACAGATTCAAACTGGTGCCTGACTACTTACAGTGTAAACAGTGCACCATCAAACACACAGAGAATCAAGGAACAATACAATTAAAAGTAGGCACTGGGTTCACTTGTGCCTTAACCAAGAAAAATCACCTAGAGATTTTTCTTGCTGAAGAGATTAGGAAGGAGCTGATTGCAGATCTCCTTCTAGAAAGGTTCCTGGAAAAAACAAATTAGGGGAGGAAGAAGGCCAAGATGGACTACACAGAGAGCAGCCAGATATATGCTTACTCATCAACTAGCAAGGTCAACTTAAGCTGAAAACTGCTTGGTGTAGGCTAAGTATCCCTTAACCGAAATGAATGGGACCATAAGTGTTTCAAATTACAGATTTTGGAAAATTTGCATTAAACATACTGGATGAGCATCTCAAATCCAAAAATCCAAAATGCTCTAATGAGCATTTCCTTTGAACATCATGTTAGTATTCAAAAAGCTTTGCATTTTGGAGCACTTTGTATTTTGGATTTAGGATGCTCAACCTGTATATAAGGAATTGGCCCAGTCTATTATTAGAGGAAGGTAGAAATGCTCTAAGAATTATTTGCACAGTATTTTGGTACAAAATGAAAACCGATAATATAGAGTAACAGTATTGGAGCCTTGGATCTTTCCCCTCTTCAGTCTTATTTCCAACTCTGTTACATTACAGTTGAGTCCCATTACTGGTTCCTAACCACCTTGGGCTGCCTTCCTCTCCACCTGGACAGCTTAGGGAATAGTAGTGATTTAGTCGTTAAAAATCATTAGCGAGTTTAGCATAATGAACTATGATGCATATTAGAGTATTTCATCAACATGTGTGAAAAAGTTTATAGTATCTTAAGGCCAAGGATAGGCCATAAATATTAGGGAGTTCATGCATCTGTCTCCTAATCTAGGAGGTAGACAAGTTATTCTAATGGTGAATTATAAGTAGAAAAAAAAAATCAACCTTATGAATATTTAAAAATATTTGAACCCCCAAAGTACATTTCTTAGGTCCTTGAAGTATATCACCCATGGCTTGGAAGCATATAAAACTTAGGTACCCCTTTTCTTTTCATTATTGTAAAGTCACAGAAAAAGCCAATCTAGAGCCATGCCTAGAATACAAAATCTGTCCAACAAGATTAGTCTTTTGTTATTTCTCTTTCTTCTTTTGTCTTCATTTTAGCTGTCTTCACATAGCTCTTGAACAAGAGGCCAGTTGATTAGGAGACCAGTGTTGATTTGATGTAAGCAACAACCCAAAATGTGAAAAATATTATTTTTGTTTACTACAAATGTGTGAACCCAGAACTAGCCTAATTGTTGTTATTCTTTGAGAGAATTTATTTTGACTAAGCTTCTTCTTGGAGAAACGAGTGCTTTAGAGCAAATTTCGCAATTAGTAAGCTAAAAACCAGGCAACAGCAATACTACCATACTCCCCCCACCAAAATTATACCAAATTAGTCAAGTTAAATGTCATTTTTAAAAATTCCTTCTTACATTTTAGTCTATTGACTTGTATTGTGCTGGGAACTTAGTAGAAGAAAAAAAACTTCAAAGATACTGTTAAAAGTTTACTGACAAAGAATATAACTTGTTATTTTTCTGGTATATGATTATTATCACTTTTTTCCATTGATTTTTAATGATCTCTATACTGATATAAAAAGTAAAATTTTGTGGAATTCAGGGTATTCATTTCCCTGTTTTAATTCTACAATAATTTTATGATATTAAAATGATTATAATGTACTAGCTTGTCACTGTACTAAAAGTGAAAATGTATATTCATGAGCGCTTACACCAGATAAACCAAGAAGAAATTATTTAATTCATTTTTCTCGCAAAGGTTAAATTGGCATTTCAATATATAAAACCTGGAATATACGTAGCGTATTAAATGAAATTGTTCTATTTCAAATTGTTTGTCTTTTAAACTGAAGACAACTATTATTTCCAAAAAAACAGGACTTAACGTCATGCTTATGTATTGAGATATTATCAGAGCTGAAACGTGTATAAAGATGGTAACTGAGGAATGTTTTGTACATTTTTTTATATAATGATTGAGAACCAGTTAAAAGGTATATTTTAAAAGGCTAAAAAAGCAATTATAAAAATTTAAGTTTCTGTGGAAAAATTCTATCACAACATGAATCCTACTAACGATGATTTAGCAGGAAGCACTGGTTAGGAAAAGCTGGCTGACTGAATGGCAAGGATAGCTAATCAGAATTTAGGACGAAAGGTTTTTAACATCAGCCCTATAAATTAAAATAATTATTGATAATAGATCAATGGAATTGATCAGACCAGAACTAGATAGCCACACTTCAAAGCCCAGGACTGTCAATTATTAGCTGTGTGACTTCAAAGTGCATTTCCTGGGTCTCTAAGGTTCAGTTCCACCACATTTAAAATGGATAATGATAGTTGTCATCTCAGAGCTATTTTGAAGTAAATAAGATAATCTACATAAGCTGCTTAGCACAGCACCTGGCATATAACAACAGCTTTCCATCATCACTACAGCAACCCTGAGTAATCCAACTATCTGGCCCTCAGTTTCCTTAAATGCAAAAAATAGGATTTGGACTGAATAATTTTTAATGTCTTTGCCCATCTAAAATTATAATTCTACAATGTATCAGAATATAGAGGGCCAATTCTATCCCCAAACAATGTAAATTTAGATTTTTCACTCTTGCATGATTAAGAGCATGGCAATTCAAATACTACAGAAGAATCACATTTTTAAGTCATCTTTTTTTTTTTTGGAGACAGAGTCTGGCTCTGTCACCCTGGGTACAGTGGAGTGGCATCATCGTAGCTCACTGTAACCTCAAACTATCCTCTTGCCTCAGCCTCCTGTGTATCTGGGACTACAGGTGCATGCCATGATGCCCAGCTAATCTTTCTATTTTTAGTAGAGACGGGATCTCGCTCTTGCTCTCTTGCTAAGGCTGGTCCTGACCGCCTGAACTCAAGCCATCCTCCAGCCTCCCAGAGTGCTAGGATTACAGGTGTGAGCTTTTTATTTTATTTTTATTTTTTTTAAAGATAATCTATGTTGCCCACGCTGACTCAATCTTCTGGGCTCAGGGGATCCTCCTGCCTCAGCCTCCTGAGCAGCTGGGACTATAGGCACCAGCCGCTCTGTCCAGCTAAGTCATCCTTTTGAAATTAGTTATTATTACTACTTTTACTAAAGTCAACGTTATAGCTATTCTATCTAACCCACATGAAATCCATGATCTTCCATCACATACTGTTTGGTGACCACAAAAATTTCTGAATAACAAGTCCTAAGAAGAATTTCAAGGTATATAATCTTAATGCATTTTTTAAACTATAAGAATGTTTCCTATCCCCTACTTAGCAAAGAAAAAATAAAGATCATGAAAATTTTCAAATATATAATCAGGAAAAAGGAAATACTATTTTGAAACGGTCCTAAATCTAAAGGTCTAATAAAGTTTCTCTACTGATATGTTACAACTCAAATTACAGGCAAACTTTTTTTTTTTTCAGGAATATTAAGTTTTTTTCTTTTTTTTTTTTTAAGTGTTAGTTTTAACATGATGACATTAAGCTTAAGGAAACATCCCATGTTTCTTGGAAGCAAACTGCTGATGTCCACAGACACAGTAATTGTACACCAAATAGAACGAATACTTTCAATAAGATTTAAAAAAAATATTTGGAGAACTTCCCTTCATATATCTTAGAGACACTATTAAGAAATTTTAAAAACCTTTTTAGTTTTTAAAAATTACTAATAGTGTGTGTGATTACTGAAAAGATATTATCTAAAAATGTTAAAACATTTTTCTGGATAGACAGCACTGGTGGAAAAAGAGTTTAGGCTCACCTCACTTAAGTACTTGCATGGCAGGCCCAAAGGAAAAAAATTACATTTACCCATCAATGTAAATTGTTATATTACTTCTCAATATAAAAAACACATATGTCTGTTTAAATCTGACAACTTAATAAGCTCTCAGACCAGAAAACATGTTTACCAGCCAATACTCACTTTACTTTTATATTAGGAAAAATGGGGCTGGTACTATGGGTGTTTAAAAAACAAAGATTTCTCTTACATTTATAACTGGTAACTCCTGGGCAATTTTCAGAAACCCTTATCTTTGACAGATCTCTGTATTTTACACTTAGCACGATTTCCAACCATTCAAAATATTTTAGTTTTACCTTATAGCCAGTTCAGCATGAAAGTAGTAATGCACAGGTCATGCCATAAAATCAAAACTATACTACGTCCTTACCCTCAATATTTAGTTCAAAACAAATGTGGCAGAAGGAGAGTGTTTCTTTGTCTGTTCCCAGTTTACAAACACTGCAAATGTTGTCATCGTTCAAGTCAATGTTTACAAACTGCTCCTCTTCGTTCATAGTGCCCCTATTAAGAAACAGAAAAGGAAAGTTACACAATTTGAAGAACTTGCCTCTACGGCAGACAATATTGGGAACTTCTAGGAAACGACAAGGACATTGTTCAGTTTCTCCAATCAAACAAGCATCGCCATACTTGCACTTCGATATTATACTTTCATTGTGCTAGTAAAACTTAACGCCAGGCCATAGGCGACACTATACCCAAGTGTCTTTTTTGCTGTATATTTCATTTGGTTAAGGGGATCAGAGCGAAAGCTGTTCGCGGGTATTCTAGTCTTCCTCCTCCGTCCCCCGACCTCAAGTAATCAGCCACACGGAGCTTAGCAGCGAGGCCTTTTCTGCTGCTGGCTTCTGTCACCCTACTTAAGGCTGTTAAATGCAAGAAAAACGACCTGCACGGGACACTGCTTTGCTAACTTCATCGTGGGAACCTTAGATGCGTTTCGCTAACTTGACGTTGCGAGGCTTGCTATCCGAGGTCTGCGGCAGAAAATGCACGTGGAAAACGCGAACACCCGGGGAGGGCGTCCCGGCCGCGTCCGAGGTACCTACACTGAAGGCCGAACCGCGGCTCCCCGGTCCGGGTCGGACACAGCCAAAGGGGCCGAAGCCGGGGCGAGGGGAGCCGCGAGATCCCGGAGCGCGGCCGGCTGGGGCGCCGCGTCCCATCGTCCCGGGCTTCCTCCCGCACATGGAAAAAGCGTCCGAGGGCCACGACAGCCCTCAGCGTCTAGGGGAGCCAGGTCCCTGCCCGGCCTCCCGCGTTGGGGGCTTGCGCCCGCCCCTCAGGTTGTCGCGGACCCGCGTCCGTCCGACCATCCGTCGGGGCGCGCAGGAGCGCGAGGGGTCGCGGGGCTCGGAGCTCGAAGGAGGCGGGACAGGGCTAGGGGCCGAGGGCCGGGGGGCAGGTAGGGCAAGAGCAGGGGTGCGTGGTCTTTACCGTCCAGCTCCGCAGGCCGCCACCGCCGTTCCTCGCGGCTCCGGCTCCTCCACTATTGTTTCCGGCCGCAGCGGAGGCGGCTGCAGCGGAGGCGACCGCCGCGCGCCTGGCCCCGCCCTCTCCCGCCGGCGCCATCCCGCGAAGGCTGCGGGGACCGTGGCGCGGCCGGGAGCAAAGCTGCGCGCTCCCAGGGCAGCTGCGTGCCCCGCTCCTGCCGGTCTGCACCGACGGCGCAACCGCGACTTGCTTCCTGTGATTTGTTGTCTCTTGGCCGGAGTTTCTTACCATTCTCTGAACCGTGGCTCTTCATACCCCCCTCCTCGAGGTGCGCAGATAGATGAGTCCGTCACCACCTCCCCTTCAGCGTAGTGCAAACTACTGCCCCGAGGCGGGGGCCGCAGGGGGGCGGGGGCAGGAAAGTGACGGGTGGATGGGAGAAAGGGACACAGATGCGTGGGTAGGACTTTGTCTGAAATCAGGAGACTGAAGCAAAACACTATCACTGAACTTTTAGTTCGGTGCCAGTTGAAGTATATGATGAAGGAAAAGTTCATATTTCACGTGTCATGATATAGGCGTGATTTTAAATAAGAAGCTTTTTAATAGATTATTTTTAAAATAGGGCGCCCTTCCCCCACAATATGGTACATTCCTTGCACACCCACGGGGATAATCCCGGATCCCTACCTTTCATTTTTAGGTTCCACCCCTTTCTCAAAGTCTCTGCTTGACTTTTTTTTTTTTTAGGTTAGGGCTCATGCAATAGTTTCACTTACATTTTCTATTGTAATCCTCACAATAATCTAGAGAAGAGAAACGGGAACTGTTCTCTCATTTTGCATCCTAGGTGTAAATGGCCCAGGTTATCGCAGTTGGTTAGAAACAGAGGCTGGGACTTGAACCCCAGGCTGCTGACAGGAAGATCATTATTATTTTCCACAGCATCATAAGCACCTGTTCTGGTTACATTCACTGATAGAAAGGGGCCTGGGTTGTCAGCCTACAAGTGAGTATCCTTGAACTGATGGTAGGAATGATTCCATAGATTTTAAAACTTCGGAATCAAATTGGCACTTCCTATAAGTCATCCAATGCCTCAGAAAAGTAATCTGTACCCTTGCTACTTAAAGAGTAGTGGATGAACCAGCATCATTGACATCACATGGTGTCCTGTTAGAAATGTAGGCTCTCTCAGGTCCCATCCAAGATTCCCTAAATCAGTACCTGCAGTTTAACAAGTCCCCCAGATGATTCCTATGCACATTAAAATTTGAAATGCAGTAATTGAAATAGAAAAGTCTATGCTTTTTCTATTTGAATTTCTCATTCTAGGTAAATATGACTAAAAAGATGGATTCTACTGATCTTTTCAAAATAAAGTGATTCTTTTAATGTGATTCAATAAAAGTTTCCTAAAATCACTAACAATTTTTTTGTATTGAAACAAGTTCTTTTCAATGATCAGTTATCTCCCTTTCTGAGGCATTTTACGCTGTTTGCTTATGTTCCTTAAAACTCTCCTCCCATTTTTTTAAACCAAGGTATAATTTACAGAAATAAAATTTTCCCACTTTAAAACCACAATTTGGTGAGTTTTGACAAATGTATACACTTGTGTAACTACCACCCCAATCAAGATATAGAATCCATTTATATTTAATGTATTTACTGATATGACTGGATTTAAGGCTACTTTCTTGCTGTTTATTTTTATTTGTCATATATGTTCCTGTTCCTTTCCCCTCTTTTTATGCCTTCTTTAGATTAGTTTTTTTTTTCTTTTTAGTATTTTGTTTCCTTTTTCTACTCTATTAGCTATATTTTATATATTCCAGTTAGCTATATTGTATATATATGTCTATTCATTTATTCTTGGATTGCTGGATTAGTGGATCTGTTTTTAATTTATCACAGTCTCTTCTGGTACTACTCACTCCAATCCTGGCTGGAATCCTTTATTATTACATTGGTGGATCCTTTATCTAATTTTTTCAGTCCATTTTTCACAATTGATTTTCTTTGTGCCTTGCTTGAGTTGACTAAAAAGATAAGAGTTCATAAATTTGGAAAGGAGAACTTTATTTCTTATAAAGGGTTACAACTTGTGGTCTGGCCATCCTGACAGGCTCGGAAGCCTATCCTTCAGCAGAGACTGGAAGCAGGCACTTTGAAGGAGGAAAGAGTGAGACAGGAATTTATGCTGAATGAGTTGGCTAAATATACATATTCAAGAGGTTATAGAAAGAGTTATGAATATTCATGAAGGTGCACATACAGGTGCAATAAGTAAACACGCATGTTATATATACTCCATGTTCACTTTGCAGACCTAATATTTAAATGTATTATAATTAGGCCCTGTATATCAAAAGGTAAAGCAGGGACACAGAACCACTCAGTGCACAGTGCACTGGCCAGAACCAGTTCATGGTTGGTGGTCTCTTATCAGGATCAGGAGAAAGTTACTGAAATCAGTCTGTTGTCTGATGAAAGATGCAGTTATGACTTATGGAACAGGGAGGTGAGTCAGTTAGCGTCTGGTGGCTGGTGAGTTGCAGTTGTTTTAATATTGCTCATCTTGAGGCCAGTGTTGTTTAGCTGCTAGAGAAAAAGAAAAAATAACCTCTGTGTTAGTTAGAACATAGTTTATTCTTTAAATGTAGGGATGCATGACTTAACCCTTGCCTGACATGGCCTTAGGTCTTGTTTATAATTGGTATAACTGGTATCTTATTTCTACAAGGAGTCCATTCTGTCAGTCTTATGATCTTGATTTTAACACTTGTAACAGTAATACATGCACCTACAGTCATGTGCTGTATAATGATGTTTCGGTCAATGATGTACTGCATATAGGACAGTGGTTGCATAAGATTATGAAGAAGCTGAAAAATTCCTATTGCCTGGTGATCTTGTAGCAATCATAGTGTTGTGGTGCAATGCATTACTCACATGTTGGTGGTGATGCTGGTATAAACTAACCTACTGTGTTACCTATCACATAAAAGTATAGCACATACAATTATGTACAGTTCATAATACTTGATAATGATAATAAATGTTACTAGTTTATGTATTTACTATACTATAGTTTTTATTGTTATTTAAGAGCATACTCCTTCTACTTATAAAAAAAGGTTAACTGTAAAACAATCTCAAGTAGGTCCTTCAGGAAATATTCCAGAAGAAGGCATTGTTATCATAGGAGATGACAACTCCATGCGTGTTATTGTCCCTGAAAACCTTCCAGTGGGACAAGATGTGGAGGTGGAAGACAATGATATTGATGATCCTGACCCCGTGTAGGCTTAGGCTAATGTGTGTGTTTGCATCTTTGTTTTAAAAAAAATATAAAAAGTTAACAACAATAAATTTTAAAAATAGAAAAAAGCTTATAGAATAAGGATATAAAGAGAAAATATTTTTGTACAGCTGTACAATGTGTGTTTTAAGCTAAATGTTATTACAAAAGAGTAAAAAATTTAAAAAGTTTATAAATTAAAAATTACAGTAAGCTAAGTTTAATTTATTATTGGAGAAAGAAAATTTTATGTAAATTTAGTGTATAGTGTTTATAAAGTCTACAGTAGCATATAGTAATGTCCTAGCCTTTCATTCACTCACCACTCACTCACGGAATCACCCAGAGCAACTTCCAGTCCTGCAAGCTCCATTCATAATAAGTGCCTTATCCAGGTGTAGCATCTTAAAAAAAATCTTTTATATCATATTTTTACTGTACCTTTTCTATGTCTAGATATGTTTAGATTCACAAATATTTACCACTGTATTACAGTTGCCTGCAGTATTCAGTATAGTAACATGCTGTATAGGTTTGTAGCCTAGAAGCAACAGGTTATACCATATAGCCTAGGTATGTAGTAGGCTATACCATCTAGGTTTATGTAAGCACATTCTATGATGTTCACATAGTGATGAAATTTCCTAATGATCCATTTCTCAGAACTATGCCTGTTAAGTGATGCATGACTGTATTTAGAATGTAAACAGGTACAATGGGCTTTCTAGTTTACTGCCTTACTTGACAAAACAAAACAATTATATACTTGAATAGTCAAGGATTTTATCTTCAACTGCATTTCTTTCTAGTCTAGTAACTCAGTGAAGTGTGCACAAATGTGTTGTAAACTGTAAGGTGATATACAAAGATTAGTTGTACAATTAGTTCTTGATCTAAAATAGATACTACTTTGACTTTAGGCTTAAGTCAGTTAGGAATTCTTTCAGATGTAAGTAAAAGAAAACTTAATTAACAGTGTCTGAATCAAATATGGGTTTATTTGTTTCACAGAACAAAATCAGTAGAACCAACTGCTAGCAGTTGTTATTGTTGTCAAGACTACCCTCTCTGTTGCTCTCCTGGTTTTCCTCTCAAGAGTGGCTCTGCAACTCTTGAGAGGCAACATATTTTCTTCCAGGGAGGAAGTCAGGGATGGAAGATATGGGGATAAGGGGAAGGGGAAGTTACAGCTTTCACTTTTACTGGGAAATGAAAACTTTTCTGAGAGACTCTAGCAGATTTATGCTTATATCTCATCACCGGAACTGTTACATGACCTTTAATGTAATGGTTCTGTAAAAGTGAGTATTTAGTTTTTCAGCCTCCATAATAGAGAGCAAGGAAAAGAGACTAGGTAGATAAACCAACCATGTCTACTAGAAAGATCACATAATTTTGTTTTCTGTATCTGTGATGGTAAAAATCATTCTCACTCATCATTTAAAGTCCAATTCAAATGAATATCTGCTACAAAATTTCTCTAATCTTTCTACTTTCCTGAATTCCCGCAACTTTTGCTCATGCCACTACTATTGGTATTTTTTTCTAACATGGTCCCATTTTTAAAGTAAGGGATTTAGTATATTCAGTATATCCATCCATTCATCTCTCACCTCTTCATTTCTCTTCATATGCTATTTCATTCTCTCCTATTGGAGATGTGCTTTTTCCATTTAGCCAGAAAGATTGGCACGTGTAGCCCCAGGCCGAAAGCCTTCTGGTACCATGACCCAAATGGTACTAGAAACTCAAGATGTGTGCATAATCGATTGCATTA